GAAATTCTCACGGTCGACCGCGAGCCATGTTAGAGATTGAGAAAATTTTCAGAAACATCTACGGTCGACCGTAAGAATTTTTAGCTTGACGATCGACCGTCATGGTCGAACGTGAAAGTCTATGCTGGCTCCATAGGGTAAATCAAAGGCGTGGTCGACCGTGGTGATCGACCGCAAACAGATATATGAAAATGACAGTTTTATAAGCAGTTTTTCTGATTTAAAACCCTGTTTAAAAATATCAAATAAATTCAGAAAAATATAAAACTTTGGGAAATAATTGTAGACATGATAATACACATGCTACAAAAATTGGTTTTCAGAAAGGACCTCCCAAATGAAAAATATCATTATTTTACAAAATAGTCCAAAACATGAAAATGTGAACATATGAGTTTTGACATTTTAGCTTAACCATGTTTTGAAACAATACAAAATGATTTTATAGACTTGAAGAAAGATGTAAACTATTGTTATGAAGTCTATAAATTATGAATATAGTATTTTCATAAATACAATAGAATATAAAACATATGAGTATGAATATGAATATATATTTGTTTCATATCTATGAAATTAAACCAAACCAAGTTATCCACGTAAAAACAAACATGTATGAATATAAATTATATGCTAGTAAAAACTTTGTTTGTGGATAAACAAAAAACCAAAATGTGTATATATATATATATAACTATATATATACATAGAAACCAATAAAAAGTGTGTGTATATAATATTGAGCTTAAAGTACTTAACACACATAATATAAACTCCTAAACTAATTATACCAAAGCTATCTTGATCTTCAATAAGCTTGACTTGGTATACTTGCGGATGAAGCTTGAACTTGGATCTTTAATTTGAATGTGCATTGCTTCACTCCATAATTCTGCCAACCTCCATTTGATATGATTGTGAATGCTCGATTCCATCCATCCTCCAACATGTTGTTTGTCTATAATAAATAGATAAGCACAAACACTAGACAGACAATATTAGTGGTAAATTGTTTGTTAAACATCATCAAAACAAAGAGGCCAATAGATCGATTGATGAAAGCTGTACATAGATATACAGCAGGAAAAAATATCTTGTTTGAAGATAGTACCATTAATTTGATTATCTTGGAGAGTTTTATGTGCCTTAGGCTTAGACATGAAAAGATGCCAATGTCTATAGCTAAAGTAGACCGACTTCTTAGCAACCTCCTTTATCCAATTCCTCTTGTCGGCTTTGTTTGGTACGAGGTCAATTCTGGTGGGACCCTTTGCCGCTTTCTCTCTTGGCAAGGGGTCGGCCCCTACCACTGAGTCAGCTGTCGATGATGTTGTTGCTATTGTTGTGGTTGCTACTGTTGCTTTAGCTGCCCTGACTTCCCTTCTTGTATGTTTAGGCATGTTCTACGTCCATGTACCCATGGGCCATAGTCATTAGCTACTCATACATGGTCACTCATTTCTTAATGAGGAAGTCAGCTAGCTCATTGCTCTCTAGGTCGGCCATGATGGCAGCCATCGTGACGGCGCTGTCAGGGTCATCGACTTCCAGTCTCTTGACCTGAAACCTCTTAAAGTAACTCCTAAGATTTTCTTCTGGTTTTTGTCTCATATGGAGCAAGACATGTTGAGCCAGCTTCGACTTAGTGTTTGGCTAAGAAGTGATGTCTAAACTTCTGGCTGAGTTGCTTAAAGCTGCTGATGGACTTCTTGTGCAAGGATTTCCACCATAACTTGACACTTCTAAAAATTTGATAGGAAAACACCTATAAATAATCGGCTCCGGCGCCTGTAGCATGGTCATCATATCATAATAATTCTGAGCATGTTTGGCTGGATCTCCTTCTCCTTTATATTTCTTCATGTGAGACATCTTGAATTTGTCACAAGTGCCATTCATGATGCCGTCGGCGAGGAGAGTGTCCCCCACTATGGCCCCAGCGATTAACTGAAAGGTCCGATCATAACCAAACACAATATTAGTGGTTGAAGGGTCTGAAGAGGTACGAGGAAGTCGGGGGCCACGTGATGCCACTCATGTAGCGTACTCTCGGCCGTCATGACCATAACTAGGGCTCTCCCCTGCTGCTTCCATGTACAACTGATGTTGTCGAGGAGGGGCCGCAAATGAGTTTGTTAGAGAGGTGGGGGAGAGACGTGCTCAACATAGTCTTCTTGTTGTCCAACCTAGGCTATAGGCCTAGGCTGTGAGGGAATGAATGGTTGACCCAGTGGAGGTGGAGGAATGAATGATGATGAGGGTTGTTAGGGAGGAATTCGGCTAATGAGCCCATTGGTAAAATAACAATTTGTTGCTGGAGAGATTGATAGATTCTTCGTGTAGATTCTTTCAACTAGGCCTGAGTGTCATAGCCTGTAGGTGATTTTTCAGGGAGTGGGTCGAAAGCTTGAGCAGGACGCTCAGAACAAAACATTTTGTACGAAGAAGAATGATAAGTCCCCACAATGAGCGCCAAACTGTTGATGTCAGTTATCTAACAAGGGGTTCAATTAAGGATTAATGTGGGTTGGAGTGCTCAAACTTCTTTAGATGGTTGATCCAGAAGCCTACTGTTTTTCTCTGCACACGAAAAAATCGTAAGAGGCCAGAGTTAGGTTCTCCGGTTATTCCTTCAACGATCAAGTCAGTATATGAACTTGAGTGGGAAAAGTGAGATAATGAAGAAGGTTTCAAAGTTGGCTAAAAAGACCAGAGGGCTACATTGACATGCATGACTTCCTTTTATAGAGGATCAGAAGAGCATATATGTAACTTGAGCTGAGTCCAGGCAGACAGCTGACTCGACAGACAGCTGATAGGTGTCGGCCGCTAGCGAAGATGGTCATCCAGGTGGTTAGTGCAAAGCGACAACAGCTGCTTGGTGCTGACGAGGCTTGATGAGTCATAAAGACCTTTGGGGCTGGAGCAATGATGATTTCTGACCGTGCATTTAAGGTGATGATGACTGGCTATTGGCAGGGGGCTTGAGGATGACCGCATTTTGACTTGGCCTGGCGAGAAATGACGACTCGGCATGGCGAGAAGGAACGACTCGGTCTGCCTGTCGAGAATGGACGACTCTTTACGAGAAGGGCGAGAAGTATCATCCTTTTAGTAGGCCTCAAAAGTTTTCGATCCGGACTGGAGAGAATGACACTGCCTTGTGATAAGGAATGACTTGGCCCGACGAAAAGGGATGAGTCAGGCATGCGAGAAGGGATGCCTGTCTCGGCCTGGCGAGAAGGAATGACTCCTTTCTTGGTCTGTCTGGGTCGGCTTGAGGTGCAGCCTGCTTGAGATATGTGTGAGCCAATTGAATATTGATCAACACTTATTTTTATGGCACAACATATATAAAGTAGGGATGTGCAAACTTTGTCCGTCATACAAAAGTTGAGAGTTGCATCTATACTTGGGAGAAACATTACTTTGAGCAACAATTTCATGATTTTGAATAGAAAAGGAAATCCTCTGGTCAGGTGTGTTTGGTAATGGAGGTGTTTGTTTTTGTTGCGTTTTTTAGAAAAACACCATGCCATGGTGTTTTATTTCAAACATGTTTTGAAAACATCATTTATAGTTATTATTTATAAAGAGATGGCGGCGGCAAAAAGACTCGAACGTTGGCGGCGCGGGTGTGACGGCCGGCGACGGGCGGTGGCCGGAACGACGACCTGTGCGCGGGCGGGCGGGCGCGACGGGCGGCGACGACTTGTCATGGGCGACGGCGGAGTCGACGACCGTGCCGGCGGCCGATGGGCAGCGACAGGACCGACGAGACGGTTCGAACGGACGACGCGGCCTGGGCCGGGGACAGCGTGGCCACGGGCGGGCGGCGGGTGGTGGCGAGCCGGGCTGCGACGATAGGCGCGGGTGGCCAGCGGGCGGGCGGGGACGATCAGGTCAGACGTTGCGGCGGCAACGATGGGCGGGGCGCGGACGGCGCAGCGGCAGGCGGCCGACGCGCAGAGGCACGGATGCGGCGGGGCGGGCCAACTGGCGATGGGCAGCCGACGGATGGCGGGCAGGCGGACAACAATGTTAGATGAAAAAACGGAATCTCAAAACATATTTTTGGTGTTTTAAAAAAAGTATTTATTTTTTGGATTTTGTAAAGGATCAAGTCAAAAAAAAGGCACCGGTTGCCAAACGCGTTTTATTATTTTTGTTGAAAACAAAAACAGAAACGACAAAAACGCCACGGTTGTCAAACGCTCCTAGTTGATCACTCCGTAGGCTGAAGTTCATGGCGTAGTTGATTTTTAAACTATAAATTTCAGTTGAAGCACGACGTCATATGGAAATTTCTTCTTCATGGCTATTGATTAATCATGGGGAATCCCAGCTCTCATGACCAGTCATGCTTTCGCTAATAAGTAGCGCCTACTATGTGTAATAGCTAAAAAACATATGTTGCATAATGCAGTAGTATCTACTATAGTGTTCAATGAGCAATAGGTAAGGCGACGTGTCAGTCTAAAGTTTGACTACAAGTTTCTTTTTTAAGGGGGAAATAATAGTAGTTCAAATTTCATGTAGGAAAGCTGCTTGGGCTCAAGAATTATCTTCGGATTGGGATCATATACTCATCAATAGCAGCTCCTAATATTTGCTAATACATCTACATCTTTCATTTTGTGGGAGCATCTTTCATTTGTGCTTATCCACAAAATGAAAGATGAAGATGCATCAGCAAATGCTAGGAGCCACTGTTGATGAATAGATGATCCCAATCCTCAATATCTTCAGAGCAGCTGACAACACGTATAAAAACCATCCATTTCTTCCCTTCTCTCCTCTCTCCTCTCTCCTCGGATCCCATCTGAGATCTTTCCACGCTCAAGGCCCGTCCCGTAATTTTCTTCTTCGCCAAGGGTGGTACTGTAAAATTCCCAACCCACGTCTTCTTAATTGCTCCAAAATTTCCCGCCAACGCTCTCTTTCCCTTCTCATGTTGAGTTTTTCTCCCCTCTCTTTCTCTCTCTCTCCCCAAACAAAAGCGTGCGAGTCAAAAAAAAAAAAAAAAAAACTAGATCTCAAATAAGATGCCAGATCTGAGTAATCTCATGATCGGTCCCCTGTCAGCCCTCCCCATTCACCGATCCTACGATGCAACGATCGCTTCTTCTTCCTCAACTCCAGTCGAAACCCTAGAAGGAGATCCTGATCCCGAGCCTGACCGTCGGCTGAGGCTTAGGATCTCGAATCGAGGCACGTGCTCAGCGGTCAAGAAGGAGAGGGTTAGCGCGGAGGGGAAAGGGAGGACCCTGGAGGATCACGTGAGGGCTTGGGTCGAGAGGAAAATGGCGGATGGAGTCGAGGAGAGGGAGTGTGAATTGCCCTTTTTAACTGGGGCGTCGAAATTGGTGAGTTGGCTGTAGGGTATTTGTCTCTGGTTTTCTTTAGTTCTGATGTCTTGACGACAACTTAGAAATTTTGTGTTAATAGTTGGGGAATTTTGAGAACTGGAGTGTACTGATGTGGGTAGTGTCATCTATTTAAAGAAATTGAAATTTTGGGTCAATATTATGAGAAACGAATGTTTTTATTCTGTAACTTACTAGCCGTGCTGATTTCCTGTGCAAAAAGTTTCTAAATAGAGATATGGTTCATTGAACTTTATTTCATTGGTATTTGTGGAGATATTCTGATTTTAGGTTGCAAGAGGAAGTTTTTTTACTTTTATTTTTATTTTTGATTTTTGAAAATAGATGTGTTTATTAAGAATTTCCAACAATGTTCCTATATTTTTGTTTAATTTTTTTAGGACATTCTTAAAAAATAATAATTTTACTGATGCCTTTGCATTTTATTTATGATTATTTCCTGTCTTTTCTGTATGAAAGTGTTTATGTTGAAGTTTTTGCGACGCTTAAGTTAAACGGTTTTCAGTTAGCAGGAAACTATTGCAGCAAAATGAATCTTTTGGAACCCCTAGCGATTTGTCATTCTGATTGAATTTTAGTATGGTCATGGTAATCTTACGCATCCTATGTGTTGACACAAACTTGATCTTTGGTTATTTGGTTTGCTCCATATACTACACTTATAATCGTCTCATAAATGCAATTATCATTTATTCTTTGTAATTACATCTTTAGGCCGAGTGCCGCGAATGCAACAGATATGTCTATCCTGGTGAACAAGTGCTTTGCTCAGTTCGTGGTTGTCAAGAAGCCTACCATGTAACATGTGCTAAGAAAAGAAAATGGAAAACCTCTGCAAAAGAATTCAAGTGCCTGCAACATGTAAAACTCTTACATTTTGTTTCATGCTTTTCGTTGCCCATGTTTTGGTATAGTCTTCCATCCATAAAGTTGTTTGATTGAAATATAAATAATTTTGCATTCTGTTGTTAACTATTAAATGTTTTTTTGGCAATGTGGTGATAACCGTCATTGTTTTATCTTAATATGCTGTCATGAAGTATTGTTGATAGGGATAAACATGAACTGTAGTCATTATTTATAAACATATTCATGAAGACCGTTCACTTTATGTCATGGTTGTGTAGTGAAACTCTTGGCCTGTGGGTAGATGGGGTTGTGTACATGTGAGTTATGGATATTGTTCTATTATAAATCATTGACTTCATGGTATCAGATATTATCATCTTCGTAATTGCCTTTGCTACTCAAAATGATTTTGGCTATGGTTTTTAGCTTTAAGTGAGAATTCTTTATAAAGACTAGTGAAATATTACAACTAGTGTTAGGCCGTAGCTACTTTCTGGAATTGGTGTTGAGTTCCTGGTGAGACAACTTAGCTTGTTAAATATGCAATTTAAGTTCATACAAAGAATACTTCTCCACTCAAACCGGCCTACTCCCCTCAACAATTTCCTAATCAAGAAAGATGAACTGGGGAAGGTCACAGATTGATAAAGTTTGCTATAAGCAATTCATCTTTATTGTATAATATAGTACAAAAATTTAGGGATCACACTATTAGCTAGTTGAGTTGTATGAAGTGACATGTGTTTGCTCTGAGGAATCATTCTCACCTGAGCAACATTGTCAATTGTAAGGGCGTCAAGAGAAGGTGGGAAGAGATAGATCATAGGCTATTTGGAGCTCAATGCTTCCAACTATCCAGCTGAAGGCAATGATAAAGATCAAATAAACTTAAAATTGTCTTCATTATTCCCTGCTTGGACTTTTGATTTTGTATTTTCAATATGTTGAAAGTATTTAAACAAGTTTAGCTTTGATCGTGTAATAACTTCAAAAACTATACAATAGACTAAGACAAGATCATTGTGCATTTTCATAATACTGTAATCATTGTCCATGGTATATCATAGAGTGAGATGAGAGACATACATATGAATGTGAACCAATCTGACGTAGTTGTTATATTATCTGACCACCTTTTAACCTATGATATAAGGTTTTTGTGTAGGAAATAGGAAACCTTTCTTTCTTTCCTTCCTTTCCTTTCCTTTCTTTTTGTTTTTTTAATAACTCTTTCTTATTGCTTCTTACTGCTAATGTGCTATTGTTATCATAATCAACATGTTTATATAGTAATAGCTGCACAGCTACCTACTTTAGGTGAGACATTTTCCTGGATTTTGTGATAGTATTTGAGCTCTTTTTTTTTCTTTCCCTTTCCTCTTTTCTATCCAAATTGCAGTCGGGGAATGTGCCTTGGTTATGAATTATTTTTAAATTTCCAATCATTTACACTTCTGCGCATAGGGAGGGTTTGTTGTAGCAGCATCAAGTTCAATTTAAGGCTGACTGTCTTCAACTAATGGGGCTGGAATAAAATGGCTATGGGACTAATATTGAATGGGCGATGTGAGCTTCTTGCTGCCTTCTTTTTATTTTTTTTCCTTGTGTTGTGATTTTAAGCATCCATGTTTGATGATTTTTTTTGACAACCAATATTTATCTCAATTATTATATTGTACAAGTACGGATTTGTTCCGTTGCTTTTGGCAAAATGCTAAGTATGCAATATATCATTTTACTAAAATTACCTTTCTCATTGAATAGCAAGGGAAAAAACACATTCATATGACTCGAATATACATTTATGGCTGTGTCTTCGTGTCAGGATTTTGAACAATTCTTGTTTGCCTCTACTAACCTTAGATGACAACCCAACATCAGCGCTGTAGTTAGAGGATATTGAAAAATTAATTTGTACAAACGAGATACTGAAGCTATATATGTAGACCTTAATGTTTGGAGCCACTTACATGCGTACAATAACTTCTTCCAAGGATCTATGTCTTCCAAAGGTGAAAATGTATAATCAACATTGATGGAACTGCAATGAAAGTGAGCAATATGTGTTTAGATTAGCTGTCTATAGGAACTTCTTGTTTTAATGAAATGACCAGAGAAAGAAAGCATACCTCTTACTGTCAAGCGACAGTGGCATTGGGGTCTGTGTAAAAAGATAGAGATAAACAAGAATATCAGAGGCAAGAATTGGGATTCCGCTTTGCATGCTCTTTCATATTAATGCTGCTCAAATTTGGTACCCTAGTTGGACCATCCATTTCAATCTGACG